AAAAAGTTCCAGATATTGCTTGTTCAAAGAGGACTTGACCGGCACCAGGAGAGATGAACGGTAACTTTCCAAACTGTTACCAGCTATCTGAATCGGCCAGAATCTGTTTCCACCGTCAGAAACTGTCAGTCACGTCTCATAAACCGTCAATGCCCAGCTCTTGCTACGCTCGGGCTCACGCTGTTCCTTGAAGTTTTTCAGAAACGCTTAGCAATAACGGACGCAAAACCCAAAACACCGATTGGCCGCTTGAGAATTCTTTATTGTAACATCAACATATAAAAAATATTTCTACTAAGGTTTGTGAACAAATATTACAATAATAAATCACAATATCACTTCTGACGGTTTGCTACTGACTTCTTTCTGAACAGCGACCGATGAGACGATGACTGTCGTATTGATGCCTCCGCGAAAATTGGGGAAGTTGGTTTTGAGCAAACAACCATGAATTGATCGTTCAATCTTCAACTGCATTAGCAGCCTGTTTTATCGCTGCTCGCCACTTCCTGTCGCATTATCTAGTCTACTGCAATTAGAAAGTTCATTGGCTATAGTAGGAAGCCAGCTCGTTTTACTCCCGTACTCACTTCTTCGAAGGATTCCGTAAGTTTCCCGTTGTGGATTATTTGGCATGCAGCATTGTCGTACAACTGTCGGGTGAGATGTATAATTGCCGATGACACCTCATAGTAGTGAAGTAGCTGCCAAATTACCTTTCGATCGACGCAGTCCGCTGAAGGTCTTTTCAAAGTCGATGAAGTTGAGATAGAGGGGTAACTGCCATTCCAAGTTCTGTTCAATGATGATATGTATTTTTGCCCTCTGATTGATGCATGACTTGTTTCTCCTGAATCCAGCCTGTTCCAGTCGAAGGTTTTCATCCTAGGCTTGTTTGATTCTCTCCAGGATGACGTGGCTTAGTATTTTGCTTGTGATGAACAGGAACATAATTTCGCGCCAGTCCTTGCATTGACTTAATTCTTTTTTCTTTCGCAGTTTGAATAAGTATCCTTTCTTCCAACCTACGGGTACTTGGCCCCCTTTTCACACCTTCTCCAGTAGTGGCCATACCAGGTTCTCCGTTGTCTCTGGGTCCGTTTTCAATGCTTCTGCAGGTATTCAATCTGGTCCTGCTGCTTTTTCAGTTTTTAGCATCATGATTGCCCTCAGGACTTCTGATTTTGTCGGGGGATCAATGTTCACTGGTAGTTCTGCTTCCGCTGTTGGTGTTATTGGGCGCGTTGTAGATGGCGGTCGATTTAGAAGTCTTTTGAAGTGTTCAGCCCAGTGTCTCCTTTGCTCCACCTCTTTGGTGATTGACTTTCCATCGTCGTACTTCGCTGGCTCAATTTGTGTCGAACTTTTGCCCGATAGGTGCCTAGTTGTTTGGTAGAGTGTGGCTAGGTCTCCTTTTCCTGCAGCTTGTTCTGCTCCAATCGCCATAGCTTCATAATATCATCTTTTGTCTTCCCTGGCACTCCTCTTCACTCTTTTGTTCAGTGTGTTGTAGCTTGCAGTCGACTGATGTTTTGTTGCTCGCCGATGCACTGGATAGTCTTTTGTTTCACCATCCTCCTCTACTTTGTTAGTCTCCAAGTGTATTTCTTGTCCATGCAGGTTTGACTCCAAAGGGCTTTCAGGATATCCCACTGCATGTCAACGCTGACCCCTTCGCTAGCGTGGATTTGGGTCACGGCTTTGTGATTTATGTTTACAGTGAAGATGTCAATGTAGTTGAAGATTAAAGGATCAATTCATGGTTTTTTGCTCAAACCTAACTCTATATTTTGATGGGAGTTATCGATACTGCAGTCATCGTTTCATCGTTCGCTGTTCGTTAGAGGACAGAGAAAAACTGTCAGAAGTATTATTGTGATTTATTGCTATGGCACTTGTTCTTAGACTTTGTGTGAAATAACCTATTGGTTGGCTCTGTATTGGTGCAAGAATAAACGGTTCTTGGGTCACCAATTTGTGTTCTGGTTATTTGCGTTGGTTAGTGAGCATAGTTCCTGAAAGTCTTCCAAGGGCAGTGTGAAGTCCAGCGTAGTTAGTCCTGGACATTAACAGAAGATGGTTTTTGTGTCCTGGTCCTTCAGCTTTTGAGTGTTGAAGTTGGCTTGTGGTCTTTCTGCAGCTCCTGTTGTCTTTTGTATGAGACAGTCTTCTTAGCCAACATCTGCTCCTCTTCTTACTTTTGTATCCAGTAGGCTGTGCGTCCACTTCCTTGAGATTGAGATGGAGTCAGTTTGGTTTCTTGTCCGCCCATCTGGTGACACCCATGTAGCCTTGTGGGTATCCTTGTGTCTGTATAAGCTGCAGCCATTCGCTAGTTCACTGAAGGCGCGGAAGTCGGCGAAGAGTTCTCCATTTTCATTCATTTTTCCGAGAGCTTCTCTACCCATGATGAGTTCCGTTCCCGCGTTGTCTGGCCACAGATTGTCGTTCATGTCTCCCAATAGTATTTTAATGTCACCAGCTGGAGTATTGTCCATTGCTGCCTGTAGTTGTCTGGAGAATTCTTCTTTCTTTTCGAGGTCTGCGTTGTTTTTGGGCGTATGGCATTGTATAACTGACACTTTCCTTCCTTTGGAGTTGAATCTGGCGGTCATTGTCCTGGATGAGGTCGCCCTCTAATGCATTGGGGCCCTCATCGCCATTGGCGACATCATGATGGCCACGCCCTCGGTGGGCATGTAGTTGTTTTCTGGGATATCGGAGTAGATCACTGACCCACCCGTTGACAATTTGGTGAGTCCATTCCCATACCGTCCGCTTTCACGTATTCCCAGTAATTGAATTCCATATCGTTTCATCTCGTTTGTGATCTGGGCAGCTTTTGCAATCTCGTACGTGGTGCGGACGTTCCATGTCCCCACAAAGACTTTTCCTTTGGCGCAAGGAGATTCGCCGTGCTGAATTTTCTGTAGCAACATTGTTTACAGGCTAAGACTGCTAGCCTCAGGCCTGAGAAGGGGGTTGTTACATTAAAATATAGTTTGCAGAGAAGCGACCTTTTGTGTTGCTCCCCTTAAAATCAAGAAAACAAGGAATGAGGCAGTTACAACAACAGCAGCAAAAGGAAAATAATTCACAACAGGAAGTGCAGCGACGACAACAATAAAAAATAACCTTAGCTGTAGTATTACAGTCAGAAACAGTTAACAAAAACGATACAAAAATCATGGACCCACTGAGTTGAGCCAACTTAGACATAAATCTATCAATATATACAATTTTAGATATTTGTCAGTGTCAGACAGTTGCAAAATGGCTAGCAGATAGTTACAGGTATTATCAGTCAATAAGATTCAGATTATTTGAAAGGAAACGACTACAATAATTGTCGAGACTTCTTGGCATGAAGTTCCACAGATATAAGAGTTTTATGTAACTGAGTGAATGTAGCGTGCTAATTGAAAATCGCGTCAAGGTCCAAATGGCAAAAATAGAAGACCAAATTGTTCCGAGAGCAGATTTTTTAAAACACAGCGAAATAGTCCGGCTTGTGACCCAGTACATTACATCATATTATAATATGAACCTTCGATTTTCCCATTGTGCGGCGTTCAGACCCAAGGGGATCAATCGCTGATCAGAATGATTAACGGTTGACAAAAATGTGAATTCAATAAATGATATACGACAGCCTGCCATCAACAGAACATCGCCTAGCTGGCACAGATGAGAAAGGCAACCAGCGTGCAGTATTAATTGAGGACAATAAGATCTCATATGTTCTGTCGGGCTATCGGCTTCCCACGTGCAAAATGGCATCTCCGTAGGAAACCGGGCTTATTCCTATAGTCACTGCATGCCTTTATTTTAACTATCGCTTATCTTTCATGGCTCTGTATTCATGTAAATCCTATTCATAGGTTAGATGAAAACTGTGTTCTGTCATTTATCTAAGTGTGTTATACAGTAAGGCTGTTTATAGCTATTGGGGTTATTGTTTATGCAATTTACCTGTAAACTTGTGTAGTATATCCAATCTGCCGTTTGTAAACTACGATCGTATTACATGGTTTTATTGCTTGCAGCCATTTGAAGATGCCCGCAAAGTGACGCCCCACATGCTCAGCACCATGAGAATAAATACAATAATTATCAATAATAATATTAGCAGACACATTAATTTTCACGAAACTTGACGTGGTGTGGCAATGCATATTCAAATGTCTGTAAAGTGCTAATAATTCAGTCAGTATAACCACACTTCTTATTGGCACCGGAATGGTTTTTTGAAGGTCAGTTTAATACTCATATATCTATGTCAAATGCGTAATGACTGCAGTTTGGCTTCACTTCCGCACTTTCTAAGATCACTACGGTTCTACGCAGCGCAAAAATGCATCGTAGAGGTGTGAAGAAACTCAGCAATGGCCTATAGAATCTATGAAATCGGCGAAACATTGGCTTAAGTTGAAACTGACCTCATATCACTTCATTTTGAAACAGACCCTTGGAAGGCTAGTAGTCACTGGTCATAGTAGTGAGGGCATGGGGCTTTTTATCTCATGATATTTAAGAGCAAAATCAAAAGAGTCCTGTGTGCAAATAAATTTTTAGATGGTGAGTTATTTCGGCCCGATTCCAACTCACAAGTTTGGGCAGTCCTTATGTTCTTGCGAATTCGACCGTGGCATACAGACTGCCTTCTTTACCTACCAGCTGAAGGAAGGAGACTGGCAATCATGCTCTTATTCAAAGATGCACTTAAGTAAGGTGGGTAACAAGAGATCACACATGGAAGAAGGCAGTCAACACACTTTTCTTCCCTCCTGTTTCACTTCGTTTGCATCGACCAAGAGAGCTATACAAACTGGAATAATGGCACAGAAAATAGTTGAGAGGATTCGTTCCCGGCTTAAAGTGGCACAAAGCCTCGGAAAACTGTACTATACACAAGGAATACAATAACGTTGTGCCTACGCGGTAGAGCTCAAATTGGTACCATTGTTTAAAGTGGTCTCAGAGTTGCGGGATTTGTGAAAATGACCGCCATATTTTGTGTTTCAACTGGTTCCTTCCTCGATGTAATTCTTCATGTTTATGGGTTTAGACTAGACGCTTGTTTTTAAAATATGTAAGTTGTTCTGAAATAGACGTTTCGTACTTATGTTTTTTATGTTCTTTGTGCCTTGTTATTTAATTTGTACCAGACATTCATAAATGAGTCTAATATGTTTGATTTATAGATAATAAGTTGTATTTCAAGTTTTTATAGTTGTGATGTATTTTATGAGTCGTATGCATCTGCGATAAAATATAGTATTCATCCATTAGATAGTCTCAGTCGTATGAATTTTTCTCAGACCAAGTCAAATAGTGGTTTTTAAAATCACCATACGAAACGGCTATTTATTATATTTATGTCCTTTACAGAAGTTGGATATTCATCTGTGAAGCTTTTTAAGAATGTTGTGTAAAATGGTTGCTTGTTTTATAATAACGTTTGTAACATTTACGGCACATAGCATCTCTTAGCTTAGCCTGCATCGACAGCAGTCGGAGGGATTATAGAATTCCATATACTTTTCGTTATTTTTCTTTGAACCTTCTCCTTTTTTTGGTCTGGCTATCTTGGCAAAATACTTCAGTGACGTCGCATGCAGCCACCAACTTTAATGTTTTTTGATCATCAATGAACTGAATCCATAAAATTCCAGTCTTCAGAATTACCAGTCACTTTGTGTGCATTTGACGATCATCTGGCCTGATTTGGGACTCATATCACACTACATAAAGACGCCAGTGGATAAATACACTTATGTTCATTTTCTACTCCATGGTTACCCATAAATCCAATTCACACTTACATCCCTGTGATGTCTTTGACTACTTCACTTCATTTAAGTGGTGCAGCTTGAAGCAGCTGTTTTCTGTCGTCAACTGAAATCGCTGTTCATAAACATGTGTCCATGACTATTTACCGTAGAACTACGAAATGTATGTGGCGTTACAAACTACAGCATTTATGTTCATGATGATGTGCAGTCGTTAAGTGAGGTTGACAAACCATATTTTTTTGTCGTACTTTGTATGCACATATGCATCATTAATTTTAAGTGTTTGTTCTGTAGTAGAAAAATATAACTTACGAGTGTTGCCTTTCACGTCCTTGTATTATAAAACTGTATGGCCTTGATTGTGATGAGACTCGCGTATCACATTTGTCAGCAATACAATTCTGTGACTGCAGTTATGAGTAAGGATGCATTTACGTCCTCACAAAAATGTATACTGACCATTTTATTTTTTGTATTTCCTTCACGTTCCCAGTAGAACATAGGGCTTCAAGCCTTCAGCTTGAAGTTTCTGTAGCAGTATTTATTTTTAAAGGATGAGGTTGCTAGCACCATGCCCAACCTTTCCTCCTTACCAGTCTTATTACTGGATAAGTGAGGTAAAGGAGTGTGTCGGCCGGGGATCGAACCCCGGACCATGTGCATGGTGGGCGAGCATGCTAACCGCTGTGCTACCGACGCACACTAAGGGATGTATACAGAGTTGTGGCTAATGGTAATTATAAAAAAGAATTTTGTAATAGCAGAGAGCAGACACCGAAGTTGAGTGTGCATGAACCAACCAGTTAGATCACCTAGCATTACAAATGAATGCTTTACTTAATCTTCCTTACAAGTTTTACCCTGACCTTAATCATAACCCTACCTTAATCCTACCGTAAAGTTAACTCTGAATCAAGGTGAAACTTGCAAATAGAATTGTGGAAAGCATCCACTTGTATTGCTGAGTGATCTGACTGGTCAGTTCAAGGCTACTTGACTTTGGTGTCTATTCTTTATGTTCAGCCACAGTTACTCAGAATGTTTTTAACAAAGATTCGCAGCGTTAATAACTTCATTCCATTTAGTACCAGACTGTATATTACATTAGAGTCCGGGTCATTGAGGTTTCATAAATTGATAAAATAAGCCTACCATTCTTAATTCAGAATTCAAGCCAGTACAGTTAGCATAGATTTACAAATCTCATGTAGATTTATGATTTACTGAATATAGTCGTTTATATCTACTTTACGAAGAATATATATCCTCTGGAGAATCATTATAGTCCAAATTAATGTTTCGCGATCGTGATATGAGGACTCGAGGTTTAAGGTTCTCTTTGTTATCTACGTTCGGAAATACGTAGCCCACTAACACAGGCACTTAACTTGATCCTAACTTCAAAGTCTCCACCTATTTAAATCCGAGGAACTGCACAGTATGAATAGCTTCCATATTTGTCCATAATTAATTTTTACGTACATAATTGCATGGGTAGCTAAGTCGGATTGCTTATTATTTTTCATTAGCTCTGAAACTCGGGGCAACTATCAAATCCTAAGATATTTCACCGACACACTTTATTTTACGCAAATACATCAGGAATTCAGTTTCTTAAACATTGTAGGTGGTATTTCTAATATTCGAGACGTTTCGCAGTTTTCTAATGTCAGGTATCTCTGTCCATGACAAAAATCCTGTAACAACCACTTGTGTGAGCAAATGCTCATGACTATAACATGAACAAAAATAAGACATTGACTCCTCCAATACGTGAGTTTCTTTAAAGTACATGTGAAATTCTCTTACGTGGGCATACTAATCCATCTTATTTCATTGTCCAAAAGTATTACAGCCTTCTTTAGATGCCGCTCATTCGTTGGATAAGATAGTTTTTGATAGTTTTATTTTATTATTTACTTTGTTTCTTCGTGTTCCGAGTGGAAGATAGGGCTTCAAGCTAGAGTTTTGAAGTCTCAGTAGCACTGGGTTTTACGGGATGGATTTGCTAGCCTCACTCTCACCTTTTCTTCTTTGTCACGCTTACAACTGGCTAGGGGAGGTGTCGGTGTACGCCGGCCGTGGATCGAAACCCGGACCACGTGTTTGGTTGACAAGCATGCTACCGCTGGACCACCAACGCACCAGTTTTGTTAGTAGTAGCCCATATCAACCTGACAGACAATACAAAGATTCAAAGTTATATCATGAATTAAAATGGTCTAAAGAGCCACGGAAAACCTTGGAGTAATAACCGTTCACTTCTGGGTTTGGTCCAACAAGTTCGTTCGCTCACCGGACACCGTTGACTTCACTCTTAAATGTTGTGGAATGTATATCTCCATTCCTCCACCTGTATGACTTATTGGTCTTTGGATGGGTCTGTCCGGACAAAAGTTATATAAAATCAACTTCCATTAAAATCAGTGTCTCTGATTTCAACATCACCCGTCTGAATGCTTTCAACTAATAACGTAATCTTGACATTCAATTCTCGAGATTATAGGAACTATCGTAGCACTCACCCACAGTGTCTGTGTACACGTTCAGCTTCAGTACAGAGGCTCTGGTAACACGGCTCTCCGTAAATTCGCCAAATGGAAGCCCAACGTCTTGTTTTCAGTCGTTTTATTGTCGAGTGTTTAACTAATTTATGACTTCCTTTAATCCTGTAATCTAATCTGTAATGTTATCCAGCAGTACTTGTTTTAGTAATCTGGAAGAATTGTTTAGGTTGTTTGGTCTCAAAATTCCATAGTATAAGGATTTTGCACATGAATCTAGTTCGTCGAGTGGGGAAATGGTTGCCGAAACGCTGCTCCTATCAGTTTCAAGCGTTGGCATATCATTTACTGATTTTCTGCATATTTTATTTATGTAGTTTACTTACCCCGCTTTACAAATCATTTAATTTGGTCAATCTGGTACGTCTTTATATATATATATATATATATATATATATATATAGCGGCGTGATGTTTATCAGAATTCCGTAATTCGAATGGTGCAGCGCGAGTAATTTTACTACCGTTATTCACGCTACTACTGAGACATGAATTGTGATGAAGTGCCCTTAGTCATAAGTACTTTGTAGCACTCACTTAGTTTCGTTCCTATTTGTGATTCGTTTTCGGGTTCACAGGGAGCGTTGGTTAAGGAATATAATTCGATAAATGAAGTGAAACGCCACCGTTGGGAATTGTGTTACTCCTTACGAGCCACTATTCCTCCTTTAAGATTTCTTAATGAAGTGAGTTCCATATTAGTTTGTTTATTAAATGTATCACAGAGTGAAACAGTATTGTATACTGGTATACAATACTGTTTCACTCTGTGATACATTTAATAAACAAACTAATATGGAATTACTTACTACCACAGTGCCCAAGTTTTACACATATTGTTTTAATGAAGTGAAATTAATATATGTAAATGCTAATGGTAATCTAAATCATGCAGAATTTATGCTTCCATAGTGGAGTACTTGGGGTCGCGCTAAATCACGAATTGGTAGAAGTTAGAATTCATGGGCCATTGAATAAGGTCCCCATGGCTGAATGATATACGAGCTTGCCTTGTAATCGGGAGGTCCTGGGTTCGAACCCCGGCTGGTGCGTACTGCCGATGATTTCCAAACTAGGATGAAACAGTTGTCCAGTGCTCCCTGGCTGGTTTTCAATGGTTGTCTAACTGATATCAGTCCGTAAAAGCAGTACTTGATATACTTAAATATTAAAAGAATATTCGCCTAAGACTAAGTAGCCTAAGTCAAAATAGTTCGTAGTAGCACAAATGTATTTATTTTCTATTATTTCTGAAAACTGGTGCATTTCTGTGAATATTTTTTAATTGCCTTATTTGTGCGTTTTAATATTGTCTAGTTTATCTCCAGCCTGCTTTTATAACGCTAATAAGCATAGCAGATTGACTAATTTATTTATGTTTAACGTCCTACTCAAATGTCTCTGTTAACACTGCGTGCCTAGCTCATTTCCACTGTTACCACATTAGTCAAACATTTACTATCGTTTTTCATCAAAGTTCAATGATCTTGTTTATAAGCCGAAAAACAAATGGGTTATTCAACCAATTTAAATCCCATGCAGTTGGGAATGAGTCACTCCTAGTCTGTGGGGGCTAGTGATACTTCCTATCTTCACAAACCTTGTCCGTTGAAACAGGTCTGTAAGTATTAGGAAATGAAATGAAATGTAATTATTTATTCTAAAGCAAACTAGATGGCGTATGTGAAATATTTATAGATACTAGTTTTACTTTAAAAATAATAGTAGTGACGTTAATGCAGTACATTTGACTTTTGAGTCAGTTTCCAATCTCACTTGCATTGAAAACATTTATCCGTCTAAGTGAATTGTTTGCTGAAAAAAGCTCGACCAGGAGACAAGTTGGTTTGGCTCCCATCAGAATAAAAAGAGATTAGAGGTTCTTGACCATATTCATTTTTCATCAGATTTTGTTGATACAGCAACATGCTAGGTAGTAGTGAGTCTGCTTTATTCTTAGATAAAGAAGGAAAGTTGGATTGATGAGGTCGTAAAGCTCCATCAATTTGAGTGGCTAAAGTACGTGTTACGCATGCGAAGCTGTTGCCTTCTTGAATGAAGTGTTCACTAAATCAGAATTAGTTTAGAAAAGAGCTAAGAGTGATCAGTGCAAAAATGATTTCAATCCATGAATTCATTAACTCTTGGTCTGAGCTATGTAGGCGTGTGTGTGTGTGTGTGTAGACTGGATGATTGAGGTCCTTGGGGTGCTAAGGATCAGTGGTTGCAAAATCCTAGCGAGTTGGTTCAAACTTGTTCACTTTTTGTTATCTTCCAGTTGCTAAAAGGTTTCAGTAATTTTTATTTCATTATTCTCCTCATTCATCTTTGTCTATCGTAGTATTATTCTGTCCTTGTTCCCTTATTTTGTCTGCTTTTTCTAACCGTAAAACTCTGATAAGTTCTCTATTGATTGGTCAGTCAGAGTTTTCAGTTTTTCTGTGTGTGGATGCACTTTTATTTGTTGTAGAGAATATCGGTTTAACACGTCCTTGAGTTTGAAGAGCAGTAAATTATCAATAATGTATTTTATTCCGGCACGTTTTTTGTGTTTCTGACTACAGATTATGAATGTAACAAATCATCTGACTGATTATTGTCACTCCTTAGTTTGCACTAGTCATTCGTTCTTCAGTGACATATATCGATGATAAATTATTCTGGTGTGCACAACCTTAGCTCATGGATAGTCCCCATCCAGGCATTAATGAAAAAACACACGTAGTTCAGCGAAAAGTCTCTTTTCGGCGGCGAATTCATTTTCTTAGCTGTACAATCGCAAATACATATGTGTTATTTTGTATGTATGTGTGCATTAAGTTTGTCAAACAAAAATAGACAATTGGTTATGGTTATTTTAACTAAACAGGTGAAGATTGGTAGTTGGAGTTACGTAATACAAAATCAGTCAAGAAAATTAGGTGTTGATGAAATTAATGGGGTAGTAACAAAGATGATGAGTTATCACAAATAGTTGTTAAAAAGAAGTTGTGTAATCATATGAATAGTTTGATAATTAAATTTTACTCAAGATACACTAGATTACGTAAGGTGAGCAACATGGAGGTTAGGCGTAGAGTTCTAGGTAAACAGGGGAAATCAATCGACGAAGTCGTGAAGCTACATCGACTGAGATGGTTAGGACATGTGTTACGTATGCCAAGTCATCGCCTCCCTCGACGAGCTATGTTAGCGGATATAGGGTCAGGCTGGAAAAAAGCTAGCGGCGGTCAAACAAAAACTTGGCATCAGTCAATGAAATCCACAACAGTTGGTCTAAGCCACGTAGGAAGGTGTAGACTTCCAGGCTGGGGTCCTCGGGACGGCAAAAATCTATGGTTGGAAACAATTGGTGACATGGCTCAAAATCGTTCTCAGTGGCGCAGATGCATCCACTCCCTGTGACTTATGATCTTCAATGAAACTGTTTTGTATTTATTTATTACTCCTTTGTCTCACACCTCTGCTCACTGTTTCTATTATGCTTTTCTTGTACTTTCTTCTCTTGCTTCGCGTGCTACACGGAGTGTGGCGACTTGAACTTCCGCACATTTGTGCAAAGTTCTATGTCGAAAACAGACAGACAGACAGATTACGTAAGAGTTCTAAATGAAAAGAAGAATTATAAGCAATTAAAGACCAGGCGAACAAACAAAATTATGTCATCAAAATCAACAAAGTTGTTACCATTACAGTAGAAGTGGTTCAGTAATTATTCTCTTTTGTATGCACAGCTCCAGTTTTTTTATGTGAATGGCCAGAGCGTCAGCGATACAAAGAAGACGAAACCGTATTGCCTCAGTTGTTTTTTAATCTACCGATAATTATGATGTTATAGGTTTTTAAAAAAAAGAATGTATTCTCCTCTTTTATCAAGTATTTCAAAAGTGTGCATTTCATCTTTACTTTTGTCTTTGTGATCACACTCCCGCAGTTCTGTTGATAGATTTGGATACTATCTGTCTGGATTCAACATAGAACTTGGAACCGAAGTGCAGCAGTTCGAGTTGCCACGTTCCAAATAGCACACAGAGGTAGACAAGAAGATGAGGGAAGAGAATTAATAGAGTTCCACAAGTATAAGAGTGAAACAGAATGGGTAATGGTAAAAAGGAATATGAGAGATTACAGAAACTGAATACATCTGCGCCATTGACAACGATTTTGAGCCATGTCACATATTGTCTCCAGCCATTGATTCCTAGAGTCCCGAGGGCCCCAACCCGGAAGTCTGCATCTCCTACCCTACCTGACTCAGTTTAACTGTCAAGGATTTCATGGATTGATGAGGCCATGTTTTTGTTTGGCCACCACTTACTCTTTTCTAACCTGCGCCTATATCAGCTAGTAATGCCCGCCGGGGGAGGCGATGGTTGGGCAGGCATGCGCAGCACGTGACCTAGCCATCTCAATCTATGTAACTTTATAGCCTCGTCGATTGATTTTCCCTCTTTGCCCAACACTACGCCTAACGTCAACATTACTTACCTTATTAAACTACCTAACGTGAGACAGAGATCGCAGACATCTATGATCGAAAGCAGTCAACCTTTTCATGTCTTCAACTCGTATTGGCCATGTTTCAGAGCCATAGAGAAGGACGGAGCGAACTGATGAGCAGTGCACACGTCCCTTGGTTGATAGCCGGATGTCACGCCTACGTCAGAGATGGTGTAAGTCAGCGAAAGCAGCTCGAGCTTTTTGGATCTGTGCTGAGATTTCGTCGCAAATCAGTCCGTTGGTGCTGATACAACTTCCCAAATAGGTGAAGTGGTCAACATGTTCTATCACTTCACTGCCTATCACTAAGCTAGTTGTTGACGTAGTCCAGTCCTGTAACAGCATCTTACATTTTACAGTTTATGTTCAGTGCATACATTGAGTCATATCAACTTTCTCATGATATTTTCTCACTATTATTGAATTTTTTTTTTTTATAGCTGGCGTAAACATGCAGAGTTCAACTACAACCGATCGAACACAAGGTTTGTCTACAGAAACTAAGATGATTCTTATGCAACAGCAGTTAGCACTGCTTTTGCATGCTGATCATTGTGAACGCCTTGAAAGAAGAGGATTAGTAACAAACTGTGTAGATAGGAATTGTAGTGAAATTCGAAGCTTGTTACCCCATTTACAGAGTTGTAGTCGAGAAAGAGAGTGCAATGTCCCACATTGTATCTCATCGAAATACATAATGAGACATTACCGTTCATGTAGGGATATGGAATGCAAAGTTTGTTCAGCAATCAGAAAACCTCCTGGGAATTCTACATCATCATCGTCATCATCATCGTCATCATCATCAGTGTCATCCAACATTAGTTGTTCTCAAAATGGTCTCAGCTCGAACCAAAAATATGATTTGCCATCGTTGAATGGCATGAAAGCGTCTGACTCACCACTTCCATCTCAAAAGAATTCGCATGTAGCTGGTTCCTGTGAATCACAGTCTGTTCCTATGGTAAATGGTGAGGCTAGTCGGGTACCTTTAAATGAAAGTCGCATAACAGATCAACAAAGAGAGTTAGCGATGAAGAAGTTGTAAGTTCTTATTTCCTGAAGTTATTTTTCTTTTAGTGTGAATGATATATCCTTATCAATTTTTCCAACCGCAAATCCTACGGCGTATAGTGATCCCAGAATGAAACAATTTCTAGACTATGTTAAGCGAATGGAAAAAGAAGTTTTTATGAAATCTAAAACAACTGAAGAATACTTCAAAACGATGGCTCTCCGCTACCACAACATACATTCAGAATTAAAAGAAAAGCGTCGTTTACGAGAAGCCTGTCCTCCCCTACAGAATGGCGAGGCATCTAATACTGCACAATCATCAGATTCGACAAATTCCACAGCATCAGAAAATGGTTGTTCATCAAAGGTAAACTCTTGTGATCAGGACCAGTTCTCAGATGCTCTAGAAATTGTGTCCAAGCGTGAAGAAGAGATTCAACAAGGAGTCAAAACAGAAATTTCTGCGGAAAACTCATCGAATTCTTCTGGTTTTGTAGAGGCTTCAGAAGATAGAGATAATAAGCAGAACTCAAACTCACCAGAAGTAAAATACAACCCTGTTGCTTCTACAGAGACTGTTGAAGGGGATACTAAAGCAACAACTGATGAAAAAAGTGAACCAGATTCAAAGACACCTGAACCCAGTAATACTGATGAGAAGAAAGTAGATCCTCAGGCTCCTCGAGAACCTGTCAGGAAAAGAATATGGTATTCAAATGAATTACTGCAGTATTTTCTACCAGTTGTAACAAAAATTAGTAAAGAAAAGGATGCTGAACCGTTTTTAACTCCAGTGGATTGGAAATTCCTAGAAATATATGATTATCCTCAAATAGTTTCAGACCCTATGGATTTATCGACTATTAGAAAGAAATTAGAAGATCGTGAATATAAAGATCCCTGGGAGATAGTTGATGACTTTTGGTTAATGCTGAACAATGCATGGCTTTATAATAAAAAGACCTCAAAGGTGTATAAAACGTGTACAAGGGTAAGTTTCATATTCCTGCTTTAATATGTATATGTTTTTCTAGTTGGCGGAAACTTTCGAGAGTATTATCGATCCTGTGATGCAATCGTTAGGCTTTTGCTGTGGTCGAGAACACTATTATCAACCGCCTACACTGACCTGTTTAACCCCGAAATTTTGTACAATATATCGTGATGCGGTGTATTATGTGTACAAAAGCGAGTAAGTTTTGTAGATTTTTCTTTTTAATTTATATGCTAGTGGTCAAACCCCGGGACTTTTGGAACAAAATTATACAGTCTGTGAAAGATGTTACAACGAAGCAATGGATCAGATAGCGTTGGATAGTGATTCCAGTAGTCCAGTGTAAGTCATGCTTCTTTCATACGTATTATTATATTATTATTTTCTTTAATTCCTAGAGGAACATAAGGCTTCAGCCGAACGTCTCCATTGCGTTCGGCTCTCTGCTATAGTTTTCACCAGGCTCCAGGTCTGCCCACATGCTTTTATCTCCTCTTCACATCACCTCCTCAAAGTCACCCTCACCCTTGGACGACCAACTCGCCTCTTTCCTTTCGGGTTTCACTCGAGTGATGGCTTGTCTAGTGATGTCACTTGATGGTTTCCTCAGAGTATGATCAATCCACTAATTCCATTTCTTTCTGATTATTTGTTGCACAATCGGTTCCTGCTGAGTTGGTTCGTTCATTGCCGGAAATTCCTCCCTGTTTCTGATCATTTCTGGCCGGCCATCTGGTCTTGAGTAGTATCGAGCGAAGACAGCTGTTAATGAAGGTCTGCGGTTTGTTTGAGGTGCTCTTCATGACACAGCGCCAAGTCTCTGATCCGTATAGTAGCACCGACTTCACATTGGAGTTGAAAATCCGGATCTTATTTTTGATGGTGAGTGCTGTTGAGTTCCACACAGACTTGGGAGTAATGAAAGCTTGTCTTGCTTTCCCAATCCTTGCTTCAATATGCTTGTCATTTCCGCCTGTAGTTGAAACGATGCTTCCCAGGTAGGCAGGTATGTAAAGGAGGTTGTTTTTTCCAGGTTCCTCCCATTTATGCTGGCTGATTGTTGTCCGTTGTTGTGGTTGTTGGTGTTGGCCAGGAATCTTCACCACCTAACTCTGTTTTCTCTGTATTCACCTGAAGTCCTATCTTCTCTGGATGTTTCTTTTGCTAACTTGTTGCTTTTCACTTGCATATCTTCCAGTTTGTGTGAAATCAGACATATACCATCGGAAAAGTCCAGATCATCCAAGTTCTTGTTTTGTGTGAGTCCATTTTATGCCTGTTTCCTCATTGCCCGTTTTCTGTCGCATTATCCAATCTACTGCAATCAGGAAGATCATTGGCGATAGTAGTCAGCCAGTCTTGTCTTACTCCCGTCCTCACTTCGAAGGATTCCGTAGGTTTCTCGTTGTGGATTACTTGGAATGCAGCATTGTCGTACAACTGTTGGATGAGGTGTATAATTGTCGGCGGCACCTCGTAGTAGCGAATTATCTTTCATATATATGTGAATAAGTATTTTATTTATTTTTCCTGTTTTTCAGGAATGTCCAGAAAAGATTGATGGAAAAATGCAAAAATGATGTCAAAGAAAAAGAACCATTTGTATTTTGCAAACATTGTGGCAGAAAATGGCATAAAGTTTGTGCTATCTACCTTGAAGAAATTTGGCCTGATGGATTTATCTGTAATCATTGTATTGTCAATTATGGATTAAAACGTGCAGAAAATCGTTTTACAGCGAAAAAACTTGCCACATGTAAATTAAGCAACTTTTTAGAAAAACGTGTCAATGATTTTTTGAAGAAAAAAGAAGCGAATGCTGGTGATGTGATTATACGGGTTTTAGCTGCAGCCGACAAAACTGTTGAAGTCAAGTCTGGCATGAAAACTCGATTCTGTGATAATGGTGAAATGCCTGAGTCTTTCCCGTATAGAGTAAAGGCTATTTTTGCATTTCAAGAAATTGATGGTCAAGAAGTCTGTTTTTTTGGTCTACATGTACAAGAGTATGGCTCAGAATGCCCTTTACCTAATACTAGACGAGTTTATGTTGCGTATCTTGATTCTGTGTACTTTTTTCGGCCTAAACAATATCGTACAGAGATATATCATGAATTGCTGGTGGGTTATATTCATTATGCAAAGTTGCTTGGTTTCACAATGGCGCATATATGGGCTTGTCCGCCTAGTGAAGGGGATGATTACATTTTCTATATGCATCCGCCAGACCAAAAGATTCCAAAACCTAAACGATTACAAGAATGGTATCAAAAAATGCTGAAGAAGGCATTGTTTGAACGTATTGTAGTCGACTACAAAGATATCTGTCAAGATGCTAGTGAATCGCATTTAATCTCTCCTGCTGAATTGGCCTACTTTGAAGGAGATTTTTGGCCAAATACACTGGAAGAGATATTTAAGGTAATTTTTGGCCGTAGTTATAAATATTGTCTTCTTATATCATCTTATATATATATACCACTATATATATATATATATATATATATATATATATATATATATATATAACTTAGTGATAGGGAGTGAAGTGATAGAACATGTTGACCACTTCACCTACTTGGGAAGTTGTATCAGCACCAACGGACTGATTGGCGATGAAATCTCAGCACGGATCCGAAAAGCTCGAGCTGCTTTCGCTGACTTACACCATCTCTGGCGTAGGCGTGACATCCGGTTATCAACCAAGCAAAGGACGTGTGTACTGCTCATCAGTTCGCTCCGTCCTTCTCTATGGCTCTGAAACATGGCCAATACGAGTTGAAGACATGAAAAGGTTGACTGCTTTCGATCATAGATGTCTGCGATCTCTGTCTCACGTTAGGTGGTTTAATAAGGTAAGTAATGTTGACGTTAGGCGTAGAGTGTTGGGCAAAGAGGGAAAATCAATCGACGAGGTTATAAAGTTACATAGACTAAGATGGCTAGGTCACGTGGTGCGCATGCCTAACCACCGCCTCCCCCGACGGGCATTGTTAGCTGATATAGGTTCAGGTTGGAAAAGAGCCAGTGGTGGCCAAACAAAAACATGGCATCAATCCATGAAATCCTTGACAGTTAAACTGAGTCAGGTAAGGAGATGCAGACTCCCGGGTTGGGGCCCTCGGGACTCTAGGAATCAATGGCTGGAGACAATAGGTGACATGGCTCAAAATCGTTGTCAATGGCGCAGATGTATTCAATCTCTGTAATCTTTCATATTCCTTTCTACCATTACCCATTCTGTTTCACTCTTATACTTGTGGAACTCTATTAATTCTCTTCCCTCATCTTCTTGTCTACCTCTGTGTGCTATTTGGAACGTGGCAACTCGAACTGCTGCACTTCGGTTCCAAGTTCTATGTTGAATCCAGACAGATATATATATATGCTACTATCCGCGATTCTGTTTCATTTCATCATAGATGTACTAATGGACTTCACCCTAACTCACTTCAGAGACTCAGGGATTGACTTGCTACCAGGCAATAATCTCGTCGACTTAGAATATGCAGATGATATAGTCTTTCTAGGCGAGGGCGCTGACAAAATCCAGCAGAGCCTTCTGAACACCTTGAGCTGCAATCTACAAATGTTTGGCATATGATTCGCTCCCGCCAAATGTAAGATGATGTGGCTACAGGACTGGACTATACTGACACCTAGATTGGAAATAGGGAGTGAAGTGGTTGGTGGAGCATGTTGATCGCTCCACTTATTTGGAAAGTACCATCAGCCAGTGGCAAAGGGCTGATCTCTGACGAAATCTCAGTAGGGATACAGAGGGCTACTTTCGCATATGACAGTTTACGCCGTCTCTGGCGTAGACGTGATATCCACCTGGCTATCGACCAAAGGGCGGGTGTACTGCTCATCAGTCCGCTCCGTCCTCCTTCATGACTGGCTGTGAGACCTGGCCATTGAGAGTGGAGGACATGAAAAGGTTATCTGTCTTTGATCATAGGTGCCTGCGTTCTATCTCCCATGTGAAGTGGCATAATAAGGTGAGCAATATTGAGGTTAGGCGTCCGTCAAGCGCCCGGTAGATAGGTAGGCAGGGTGGAGGGGGAAATCAATCGACGAGGCTGTGAAATTACATCGACTGAGATGGTTAGGACATGTGTTACGCATGTATGCCTAGTCATCGCCTTCCTCGACAATGGGAAATGTTAGCTGACATAGGGTTAGGCTGGAAAAGAGCTAGCGGTGGTCAAACCAAAACCAATATGGCTTCACCAGTCAATGAAATCCACAACAGTTAGTTTAAGCCAGTCACGTAGGAAGGTGTAGACTTCCTGACTGGTCGGAGTCCTCGGGACGGTGAAAACCAATGAAGGCTGGAAACGATTGGTGATATGGCTCACAGTGATCGTTGTCAATGGCTGGCTGGCGCAGATGCATCCACTCCTTGTGAGTTGTGGTTTCCAATGAAACTATATCGTTCTTCGTTATTACTATTCCTTTGTCTCACTCCTCTGTTTACTGTCTCTATTATGCATTTCTTCTACTTTCTTTTCTTGCTTTGTGTGCTACATGGAGGGAGTGTGGCGACTTGAACTGTTGCACATCGGTGCAAAGTTCTAAGTCGAAAACAGACACGCAGACTTCTTATATCACATGCAGATATATTCTTAATATAGATGTTGCACAACAGGGCAACCATTTCCAGATTTGATGAACACTGCATTTGTTGTTGTGTATATGAGAGGTAAAAAATACCACCTAACAATCACCCAGATAACTATTAATAAAAGATACGTAGTTTCAAAACCTTAATCCATAGACTTCTTTTGAGCGATAAGTCAATTTCAATGCATTGAAAATGTTGACAGACTGATTTCAATATACAACTTTGCACAGACGTGTAGCATTTCGAGTTGCCACTCTCCCCTCATGCACCACACAAAGCAATAGAAGAGAATAAATAGAGGTTGAAAAGACAGATGATAAACAGATGTGTTGTGAGGCAAAATGTGATAGCCATATAGAAGAACAGTAGAGTTTTTTTATTGGATGACATGATAAATCATTATGAGTGAATGCATCTGCACCAGCCGTTGAAAACGATTTTGAGCTATATCACAAATGGAAAATGCAGGCAGTCCCAGCCTTGATATATTGTGATGTTAAATATTTTCTTTACAATCGTCGCGAATCAACATCAGTTAAAAGGGGGGATTATTGAATGAAAACCGGCTGGTAGCACTGAAAAGCTGTTTCCCCCTATTTTGGTGAGAGCCTTCGGCAGTGCTTACTCACGGCTCCATCACCAGGTTTCCGAGCCGAGACCTTCAGGTTATGAGACCACCAAGTTCGTTGTTAACGACCACTTGGCCACTTGGGATGGAATTCAACAACCCCTGAGCTCTAACCTTTTCAGCTCGTTATGTGGTGCTACTCTCACACTAGTGCCATCAATGAGAATCCACTTCACCTTAACATGATAGACCCCACTGGTGACGACTTCTCACTGCAGCAGCGGCTACAGGAAATCCATCCAGTAGGCATCATCATTAAGCTGGAAATTAAAATTGTTAGATTGTCGTCACGAAACAACATCCGTTAGGCAGATCATTGAAGAAGTGCGTCGGTGGCACTGTGGTTAGGACTCTCGCCGATCCCCTGCCGGCGCACACCTGATATCTATGGTTGGCCTGCGAAATTCGGGCTACCGATATCCACGCTGAAAATTCCATACTTGTACCAAAAATACAGTGTGGAATCAAGCCGTAAATAAAAAAAAGATTATAGGAATGGTTAACGAGTTTGGTCTGGTAACCTGTTTGGTTGGTAGTCATAGGTTCAATGGTTAACGGGATGTTGGGTGGTGTACACTTTTGAAGAGTCCCAGAATGAGACGAGTCAGCTGTCCAGTGTGCTTCCAGTTGGTTTTCAGTGATCTTTCTAACTGATGTTGATGACGAAAATCTAACAGTTTTAATTAGAATTTCATACAATTATTCCCTTATGAACAAAGAAAGAAGAAACATTGGCGCAGAATAATCTGGATCCATTCTATGTCGTCGGTTCTCATCATCAGCTGCGACCAACTTGAATTCTTTAATAAAATAGAAACAAAAAGTGTAAATTTTAACAAACTTCTGTCCATTAGCAAGCATATTGTCACAGCGTCATAGTGAAATAAGGCGATGCGATTTACAAGGTGTCTAAAGTGTTACGATATATATATATATATATCTTGTTAGAGGGAAGTTTCTCATAAAAAAGAAACTAATTAACAGTTGTGTTGTTGGGGCAGTAACAAAAGACAATTAGCAATAGTTACATAATTAGATAAGAGAAGATCAAAATTTTACAATTTCGGTGCACATGAAGTCAGATGAGAAGTTAATGATGTAATACAGTGATCAGAACTCAGAAGACCAGGAAAAATTATCTCTTAAGAGAGTCAAGCGTAAAACAATAAAGAGAGGGAGTGGAGTGAAAAGATAAGCTAACAAAATTAGAAAACAGAAATACTACGAGGTGAGTCACCAGGGTAATTGAAGTCCATCAACGGATTCTTTTTGGACACATAAATCAGACTTCAATCGTTTTATTGCTATAGCTTCAGCAAATCTGAGAAGACTTGAGGTACTTTGTCTGTTAATTTTGTTATTTTGAATGATTCCAGCACATCTACTCGGTGTCCTGTGTCAATCAGGTGTTTGGTGATTGAAGAGCTTAAACAATTCGATTCCTTTAACTGGAGGTTCCTTGGTAGGCCCTCCTCTATGTTCTTCCAATGTAACTGCTCCTGCAGATACATGTGAATTGGTATACACAGTTGGAGGTAACATGTGAGGGGTACTTGTTAATCTTTGACTGCACCAGTGAGCAGGTTGTTGGGGATAGAGAGACTAATAACGCTGCAGGATACGTCCTAGATAGGGCTGCGCTTAATCTTTTATTGACCATTCTCATACTGTTGTCGCCCTTGTAATTAGTAATTAGTTGTGATTAGTCAGAAATCCCCATAAAATCCCCCATAATTCAAACATTTCTCTGATAAATTGAGTAAGTTATTTCGCAATGTAGTTAATATATATATATATATATATATATATATATATATATATATATCATTCCATGCATACTTACTTTGTTTATTACTATAGGAAATGGATGAGGAAAATGCCAAAAGAAAACAAGAACAAGAAGCACTGGCTCGTGGCGGAGGCGGTGGCGATGATGACGATGAAGCCAAGGAGAATGTACAAACTAAAGAAAATGATGAAAATCCAGGCAAGAAAAAAGCAAAAAGACGTAAACTTAAGCGTAGTGCATCTATTACAATCACGGGTAAACGAAAACGTCTAGGTGGTATCGGTTCGGGGGATGTTGCCAATGAAGTTGCCCGTCGCGTCTATGAAATAATGGAAAAACACAAAGAGAACTTTTTTGTTATCCGATTACATCCTCAAAATTCTGTTGCATCTCTTCCACCGATTAAAGATCCTGATCCCCTGATTAATTCAGAGTTAATGGAATGTCGTGGTGCATTTTTAGAGAAAGCCAGAGAAAAACACTTGGAGTTTTCGTCATTACGTCGGGCTAAGTATTCCACTCTAGTGATGTTATACGAGTTGCATAATGAAAATCGTCAACCTCTTATGTACACGTGTAATGTATGTAGTGCCCAGCTGGAAACGCCTTGGCATTGTAAACAATGCATTGAGTATGATTTATGTCCACGTTGCTATGAAACAGAGAATCATCCTCATCCTATGGTTAAAATAGGCATTGGACTGGATGATTGCAACAAAGGGCAAGAATTGAATAATGATGCAGCTATCCAAGAGTCTGGAAGAGATAAATTAAGTCGTTGGGTAAAGGCTTTAGGTCATAGTTGCTATTGTCGTGATGCTAACTGTCGTGTATATGCTTGTAAAACAATGAAATATCAAATTCAGCATTTCCGTGTCCATTCAACAGATCGGAATCAGTGTTCTGTGTGTCGATTCATCTACTACTTATGCTGTTATCATTCTAAAACTTGTCATGAATTAAAGTGTCTAGTACCTTTCTGTCCTAAACTGAAGGCCAAAATGAAGCAACAACAAAAACAACAACGTCTTAAACAGACACAAATGCTTCGTAGACGAATGGCTACTATGCAGCGGTGTAACAGTATGACTCCTAACCATCAACCTACTCCTCCTCCGCCATCTCAGTCTTATCAGCAGTGCTCTCAATCCTCAACATCTGACTGTATATCTTCTCCTATGTCTATACCGATGCAATCATCTCCATTTGCATCTGCCACTGTGACTACTGCTTCTTACAATCTTACTTCTCCACACTCCAGAAGTCAGTCGTCGATTCAATCTCCTCAACAAAGTCAAATTTTCCATCCCCGAGCTCATCTTTTCAAAATACTCAACAGTCTGTTCATCCTTCAAAGGGAATTGTACCTAGCCCATCTGTTCCCAGATCACCGTCTATTGCTTCCACATCAGCCTCCCCTTGTGTCCAAAATCTCCCTCAATCTACAGGTGTTCACAATCCATCTGTATTGCCTTCAGAAACAGATCAGTTAATGAATGCCAATGTGGATGTCAGTAGAACGAGTTTTAACTATCAATCTCAAAATAGGCTTCCTTTGTCTACACCTCAACACCTAGCTTCATTCAGTAGTCAACAGCAACGACAACAGGTACCAGAACGTCCTCAGCTGAGTATGCCAAATAGCATGGTACCTAATTATGTTGTTTCTCAGCACAATTTCCAATCACATCCATCCTCTTCCGGACATTCAGTTATAAACAGACCATCGCTTCCACCTAATTCAACATTTATGGATACCTCATCTCCTAAACCGTTTGTACATCAGTCATGTGTAACCTCTATGGATATTGATTCACCATACTCCCAACAAATGATGCCAGGTCAACGGTTTCTGGGAGAAGCTGAACATAATAGTTGCACTTTCAACAAGCAGCAACAACAACAAGTCCCTATACGCCATCCTTCACAAACATATCCTCAGGTTATTGATGGACAAAATCCTGGTACTCTTTTACCTCCTAACCAGCCTTCTTCATCAGCAACTAATCCCACTGCAAACTGGAGGCAGCCAGGGTCTGCACTATCCAGTAATATTATATATCCGCAAGGCTCATCTGTATGTTCCAGTCAACAGAACACGTCAGTCGTTCGGTCCACACCTGCACCATCATCCTTACTTCCTCAATCCATGGGGTCAGTAACTCCACCGAATGCTGGTGTTATTGTCCCATGTGGAGTATCACCAGAGGATTTACGTATTGTTCAACAGGCGTACACCACAATGAGACAACGCGGCGCTCCAGCATCTGAGGTAAACTTTTTGATTAAGTTAACGCACAGTTTGTCGCAGTTCTGATAGTCTTTTCATAATTTTACAGTAAATCCGTTAGAGATCAAATTGATTACCCTTAAGACCTTTTAGTAGCTTGTTTTTTGGTATCATTTCCTTTATTTGGACTACAAATATCAGGAAGAAAATATAGACGGAGTAAATGACTTAACATTGGTGTTGAAAGACCGAATTTTGTTGTTAGTGCTGATTGCAGAAGATTTTCAGACTGATGAAGGTCTGCCTTTCCTTTCCGATTCTGACTGGTTTTGACACCCTCATCCGTGCCTAGATAAGTGAAAGAGGCGATCTCCTTCAAATTTCTTCTGCTGAAGGTGATTAATGCTTGTCGGTTGGTTATCTTCATCACCTCTGTGTTCTGTATGTTTCTGCTTTGTCTTCCAGTTTGTTGATTTTCGTCTGTAGGTCTTCGAGTTTACGTGACATCAGCGAAATCCAGATCTACAATCTTGTTATCAGTCTAAGGTATTCCTGCCTTCTCACTCCCCACTCACGGTTTTCCGCATAATCCAGTCCATCACAATTAGGAGTATCACCCCGGTGATGATTAGTAGGCAGACAGTCTTGTCTGTTACTCCTGCCTTCACATCAATCCATCCAATCGCTGTGGCCACTTCAAAGAAATGTCACTAGAAAGAACAATATAAAACGTGTGAAATATTTTATAATTTGTGATAGTTTCTCAGTTACAGCGGTACGCAATTCAGTAATTCATGAATGAGACGATTTTAGAATCATAATTCTGAGTTATCAAACACTTTGACACTCTGCTGTATTCCTTCTGTCCCTTTGTAATTTGAAGTGTTCGAATCTGTGGTCTACAACTCAACGTAAAGCTCACCGTTCTCTGAGGGTATGGTATCTGGTGTTTTACTCATACCTTTCTAGGCAACTCGAACTGCTGCACTTCGGTGCCAAGTTCTATGTTGAATCCAGACAGACATACCTTTCTAAACTGAATTTCCTTAATAAGCATTTAATATTCAGTCATCGGTAGCAGTCTTTGTCACGAGGATTTCCGAATTACTATTATTACTATTTCCTTTAATTCCTAGAGGAAAATAGGGCTTCAGCCGAACATCTCCATTGCGTTTGGTTCTCTGCTAACGTTTTCACCCCGCTCCAAGTCTGCCCGTATGCTTTCATCTCCTCTTCACATGACCTCCTCCAAGTCACCCCACCCTCTCACTGACGACCAACTCTCCGCTTCCCTTTCGGCCTGGTTCCACTCGAGCAATAGCTTGTCTAGTGATTTCACTTGATGGTTTCCTCAGAGTATGATCAATCCACTAACTCCATTTCTTCCTGCGAATTTGTTTCACAATCGGTTCCTGTTGGTTCGCTCGTTGCCAGAGACTAATTCCTGTTTCTGATCTTTTCTGGTCGGCCATCTGGTCTTGAGGGAAGTATTGAGCAAAAGACAGCTATTGATGAAGGTGTGTAGTTTGTTTGAAACGATGCTTCCCAGGTAGGCAGGTATGTAAAGGAGGTTGTTTTTTCCAGGTTCCTCCCATTTATGCTGGCTAATTGTTGTCCGTTGTTGTGGTTGTTGGTGTTGGCCAGGAATCTTCACCACCTAACTCTGTTTTCTCTGTATTCACCTGAAGTCCTATCTTCTCTGGATGCTTCTTATGCCAACTTGTTGCTTTTCACTTGCATATCTTCCAGTTTGTGTGAAATCAGACATATATCATCGGAAAAGTCCAGATCATCCAAGTTCGTGTTTTGTGTGGGTCCATTTTATGCCTGTTTCCTCATTGCCCGTTTTCTGTCGCATTATCCAATCTACTGCAATCAGGAAGATCATTGGCGATAGTAGTCAGCCAGTCTTGTCTTACTCCCGTCCTCACTTCGAAGGATTCCGTAGGTTTCTCGTTGTGGATTACTTGGAATGCAGCATTGTCGTCAACTGTTGGATGAGGTGTATAATTGTCGGCGGCACCTCGTAGTAGCGAAGTAGTTTCCAAATCACCTCTCGATCGACACTGTCTGTCGAAGGCCTTTTCAAAGTCGATGAAGTTGAGATAGAGAGCTGACTGTCATTCCAATGTCTGTTTAGTGTGGCAATTTGATCAATACATGTCTGTCTGTCTGTCTGTTTTCGACATAGAACTTTGCACAAATGTGCGGAAGTTCAAGTCGCCACATTCCGTGTAACACGCGAAGCAATACATGACTTGTTTCTCCTGAATCCAACCTGTTTCGGTCGAAGTTCTTCATCCAGGGTGGCGTGTTTGATTCTCTCCAGGATGATGCGGCTTAGTATTTTGCTTGGGATGGACAGGAGCATAATTCCGCGCCTGTTCTTGTATTGACTTAAGTCTCTTTTCTTTCGCAGTTTGAATAAGTATCCTTTCTTCCAATCCCCAGCTACCCTGCCCTCTTTTCACACCTTCTTCACTAGTGGTGTCACCAAGTCCGCTGGTGTATCTAGCTCCATTTTCAATACCTCTGCTGGGGTTCCCTCTGGTTCTGCTGCTTTTTCAGTTTTTATCATCTTGATTGCCTTCAGGACTTCTGATTTTGTCGGAGGACCAATGTTCACTGGTAGTTCTGCTTCCGTTGTCGGTATTGTTGGGCACGTTGTAGGTGGCGGACGATTTAGAAGTCTTTTGAAGTGTTCAGCCCAGTGTTTTCGTTGCTCCACCTCTTTGGTGATTGACTTTCCATTGCCATCCTTCACTGGCTTAATTTGTGTCGAACTTTTGCCCATTAGGTACCTAGCTGTTTGGTAGAGTGTCGTTTCCCGAATTATAATAGGATATAATCTTAGTTAATTGTGTTGTGAAGTGTGACTCCAGTGGATATGTATATATATCTCATGCCCCTTACAATGATATATGTGTCAACTTTGGAAAAGTCAATCAATAATAATACACTCTTTATTATCATCACCATCTATTGATCTTGATTCTTATATCTTCTATCAGTACCGGTTTATGACACAGCCAACTTTTAACACTCACTAGTTTGAGATGTTTGAGAAAAAAATACGTGGTTGTGAAACATACTACTTAATTTCCGCTATCATAAATTATTATCATTCATTACATCATTATATGTTTATGTATGTATGGAGCAATATGAGATTGTGTTAAGTGATTGGTAATAATCTAACAGTAAACACACACTAACGCGCGCACACATACATACACACGTTGTTCTAATAGGATAGTGTTATGTGAAAACTTAACGATTTTTATATTTGTTAAGTTGATTAATATCGTTCTCGGTGTTGTTGTTGTTGTTGTTATTGTTGTTGTTTTTACTATTATTGATATGAAAAGTTCAACCAGTCAGTATTGATTTAGTGCGTTTGTTTGTTCTAAAATAAATCAAATTTTTAGCACTTATTTAATTTATTCCGTCCAGTTAATTTCCACTTAATAATTACTGTGCAAAGAAAAACTCACTTAAATCTTCTTGGACATGTTATGCGTAATCTGCGTATCTCATACTTTCTCCCGTGTGTGCGTGTGTGTATGTTAGGTGTTGGCATATAATAGCTCGAGTAATATTCAGGTTGGAGGCGTCAAGTGTTAGGTAGGAAAGAGAAGTCAATCAATGAGGTTGTGAGTGGAAACTTTATTGATTGAGATGGCTAAAACATGTGCTGTGTTACGCATGACTAATCATCGCTTTCCTCCAAGGGGGAATGTTAGCTGACATAGGGCGAGGTTGGAAAATGCCTAAAGCACTCCATGTAATCTTTGGCAGTTAGTTCGAACCAGCCACATTGGAAGGTGTAGACTTCTTGGTTGAAGTCCTCGGGATGTTAAGAACCGATGACTGGATTCAATTAGTGATATGGTTCGATATGGTTGTCAATGGTGCAGGTGATTTCACTCTTCGTGAAATCTCCCAGATCGATTAAACCATCAAGTTTTTCAACATTATTAGTATTCTTTCTTCTCCTTCACATTTCTGCTTATTCTCGTTTTCGTGAATCTCCTTTTCCTGCCAACCTATGAACCACAGCCGGATTGATACTTTCCAGTCAACCAAAGCTGGAGGGTAGCAGAGTGAGCTTTACACTCAGGACCCAGTGGCTGTATATCACTCATCCGTTATATATCATATCAATTTAACAAGGTTTAGGTTCTCCTAGTTTAGAAATAGGGAGTGAAGTGGTTGGTGGAGCGTGTTGATCGCTTCACTTATTTGGGAAGTACCATCAGCCAGTGCCAAAGGGCTGATCTCTGACGAAATCTCAGTAGGGATACAGAGGGCTACTTTCGCATATGACAGTTTACGCCGTCTCTGGCGTAGACGTGATATCCGCCTGGCTATCGACCAAAGGGCGGGTGTACTGCTCATCAGTCCGCTCCGTCCTCCTTCATGACTGGCTGTGAGACCTGGCCATTGAGAGTGGAGGACATGAAAAGGTTAGCTGTCTTTGATCATAGGTGCCTGCGTTCTATCTCCCATGTGAAGTGGCATAATAAGGTGAGCAATATTGAGGTTAGGCGTCCGTCAAGCGCCCGGTAGATAGGTAGGCAGGGTGTGTGTGTGGGGGGGGAAATCAATCGACGAGGCTGTGAAATTACATCGACTGAGATGGTTAGGACATGTGTTACGCATGTATGCCTAGTCATCGCCTTCCTCGACAATGGGAAATGTTAGCTGACATACGATCAGGCTGGAAGAGAGCTAGCGGTGGTCAAACCAAAACCAATATGGCTTCACCAGTCAATGAAATCCACAACAGTTAGTTTAAGCCAGTCACGTAGGAAGGTGTAGACTTCCTGACTGGTCGGGGTCCTCGGGACGGTGAAAACCAATGAAGGCTGGAAACGATTGGTGATATGGCTCACAGTGATCGTTGTCAATGGCTGGCTGGCGCAGATGCATCCACTCCTTGTGAGTTGTGGTTTCCAATGAAACTATATCGTTCTTCGTTATTACTATTCCTTTGTCTCACTCCTCTGTTTACTGTCTCTATTATGCATTTCTTCTACTTTCTTTTCTTGCTTTGTGTGCTACATGGAGGGAGTGTGGCGACTTGAACTGTTGCACATCGGTGAAAAGCTCTATGTCTAAAACAGACAGATAGAATTTAACAAGGGGAACATTAAACCTAAGTCACAAGGGAAGATAGGAAAAGGATCATTTGTTCAAGAGTAATACTTTTTGCTTCTAATATTTTACCTGGTGATGGCTTGGCATGTATCAGCTGACTGTTAAACATTCCTTTCACTACATACAGCGTTAGTCAAGTCTTCTCAATTCTTCCCAGAACCTTCAGTTCAGTTTTGAATAGTTCTTTGTCAGTGTAGAATTTTACAGACTATTCTAGTCAGTTTGATTCCATCTTTTCTAGAAGATTTGGGAGCATCATTGCAATCAGTCCAAAGTAATGATGTTCGACTTTCACATTCTATAACGTAGTGTAACACCTTTAGTAATCATGATGTGGGGAGATATACAATGAATACTCACTTTTGGTACTCACATTTCTGGTAGTTATTCTATTCAGTATGTTTTTGAAATTAGATTGCACAAACTTTATAAGGTATTGGTTGGGTTGTTGTTGTTGTCTAGCTAAACTATATCAGCTCGCCAATGACAACGCCTCCCACGTGGTCTGGGGATCTCGACTGACCGGCAGACTTACGCGTAAACCCTTATTAACCGGAAGTAAACTCGGTAAAGAGGGTAGGTTGGGTGGGTGAGTGTGCGGCTGGCAACCCCCACCCACCACCACGTAAAAATGTCTAGTGTCCCAACCAATCAATACTCTGTCGGACTTGTTTTAAGTACTGATCACAGAGAAAGCAAATCAGCCGAACACTGTTTATCTAGTAATATTCTCTGATGAGTTTTTTTCCTTCACATTCCCCAGTGGGAACATAGGGCTTCAAGCTAGTGAATTGGAGTTACTGTAGCAGTGTTTATTTTACAGGATGGAGTTGCTAGCCTCATGCCCAACCTTTCCTCTTTACCAGCATTATTTCTGGCTTAGCGACGTAAAGGAGTGCGAACCCTGGATCTTGTGCATGGTCGGCGAGCGTCTTAACTGCTATGCCAGATATAATAAAATATTAAGGTTATTTAATTGAAGGAAAAGATTTAATTATTTCAAAATCTGTGTATGTCAATAGCACAAGAGATGGCGCTCAAAATACCATGCAAACCTGTCCGGATGCGTACCCGTTGAAATACAAAGATAAAACACCTAAAGCATTCACAGGTGAAAAAATAAGTTTGTATTTGTTGTTGGTAGTGCTTAGATGATAAATGTTGTCACCAATCTCTCTGTACCATTCATTAGTCAGTTAGTTACCAGCAGATGATGAAAGACAAGAGAAAATTGTGCGAAACAAGTTAATTTAGTCGTTGGTCTAACCATTGTGTAAATTTTAAATACTTTTAATTATTCATTAACTGTGTAAACGCGTCCCTTTTTTCCGTTGAATCAATTATTAGAACTGTGGCTTATTTTCTGACATACAGGCGCACGCACACACCTTACATAAGCTTGGCTATATACAAGAAAAAAATATTTTACTGATTGATACTATACAACTTGATTTTACGGATTTCTTTTTTTCATTGCTTGTTCGTGACAGCAAATCAGAGTTGTGTTTTTTTCAAAAGAATTATTCAACCTAGGTCAAAGCTGAGTTCTTTCTCTCTCTCTCTCTGTGTGTGTAGAACTAATCGTTATTTTATGTGTAAATTCCTTGTTTGGTCAAAATTGTTTTGCAATGAGTGTAATTTAGGCTTTACATTCCATATTTGCACATAGCAGTTTTTTATATTTTAATATAAATGTTGTGTTATAACGCCGGTGGGCGGGGTGGTAATGGTTCAGCGGTGGAATGCTTGCCAACAGCGCCTGTCATGTGGCCTGGGGATCTCGATTGGCCGACCGACTCTCACGTGTAAACCTCTCTATTAACCGGATGTTAACCCGGTAAAGAGGGTAGGTAGGTAGGTTGGATGCGCGATCGGGCGTGAGGTTAGCAACCCCCACCCGACCGATTGCTGCTACTTTGACGTGGTGGTCGGGCTTGCATATAGTGATGACCCAACAAGCTACACTGGCTGCAACCAATGTTCCTGCAGGTCATACCATGCCAGGAAGGTTGTTAGGATAGCGATTAGACTAAAAGCAGTTACCGGAATAGTGTGGGAATTTTTTCACACTATGCTGGGGGGAGGTCTGAGGGTGAAGTCGTACTGATGGAGAATAGGGGTGTGACAGCAGTAAGGTGTTTCCCTCAGATGACCAGCATGCCAGTCAGCTGGGCTGTCTCTCCACTCCGGAGAGACGGGGTTAGAAAAGGTTGACCCCAAAAATTATGCCTCTTGACTTACCCCACCTACGGTGGTCCGTAACCGGCGGTAAGTTTACTAATACGGAGCCAATCTCAGAAACCAGTGCATACAGGTCGTGTGTGACCGGCCTGGCTCAAGCAGTTGTCCCATGGGCTCTGCGGTCACGCAACACTCTCTCTGTTTGAGGTACCCGAAGAATTAATCAACTTCCACAGCGGTGTGAGCAGCCGGGAAGTAACAACCGCCAAAACATACTTCCAAAAGCACACCCGAAGCCTTCCTGAGCATCATTCCCCTAGCAACCCCCATCTCTCCCCCGCCCAAACCGCGTAAAAATAACACAGAAATGCTGCAGAAACTTCAAAGCTCAAGCTTGAAGCTCCTGTATGTTCCACTGGGAAAGCAAATGGAATATTCATGTTGTTGTTTTTTATAAGTAGTAATAGTAGTTTAAAATGTTAAAATGGTGTTTGTGATTACACAATGTGATTACAGTTCATTTATATATCTGTTATTTCTTCTCCTTAATATTGTTGTTACATTACAGTTTTCAAATTGGTTAAATTCGAATCCGCAATATCTGAGAGCATGGCAGTATTTGCAGCAATCTCATATGAACAGCATGAATAACCAACAACAACAACAGATACAACAGCAACAACAACACCAACAGCAACAACAAATGCAGCACATTCAGCTCCAACAACAACAGCAACAACAACCTCAAATGTCTGGATGTGTTGTATCTAACACGACAAATCCTTATTCATGTCCAATGGGAGTCCAACAACAACAACAACCACAACAACAGCAGCAACAACATAATACATATTCCACATGTCAGATATCACAGAATCTTCAGTCTGTTCCTGGTCCACGTCTTTTACCACCTCAAGCTAGATATTCTTATCCACAAATTCAGCAACAACAACAACCTCAACCACCACTACCACAACAACAGCAACAGACGATTATAGCCAATTCCCAACCACAATCTTGGTCTTCTTCTATGCATGTACAGCAACAACAAATGCAACAACAACAACAACCTCGTTTTCGTCAAGTTATAACAGCGCCAAATTTCAATCAACAACAACAACCGCCTAATAATCATCAACAATTTTCTATGCCTTGTCATCAACAACAACAACAAGTCAATAGACTTCCGTGTACAAGTTTATCACCAACACAGCCAACATCGAATTCACCTCAACGGTATATTATGAGTCAAACAAATCTGCCTCAACCATTGTTAACCAATCAGATTCCTTCTGCTTCATCTCCTGTATCGAACAACATATCTCGATGTCCTCCGCCTCAGCCGCCTCCTAATGCTATGATATCACCACAGATGATGGCCCCTCTCCCTCGTTGTACAAATAATCCACCTACAATGCCTTCTTCTGTTGCTGCTTCCTCTACAATGGGATTTGTAAATCCTACCACTGGTGGTTGTGGTGTTGGTGGTGGTGGAGGTGGTATGGGTGGCCCTGTTCGTTCAGTAGTTCAGCCTTCTCCGCATTACTCATCTGTCATGTTATCACAGTTGTTAGGTCCGGGTCAAACTTCAAATCTTACTAACAACAACAGCAGCAACAATCTATCTTCTTCTTCTATGCCAGAATATTCGAATTTACTGCCAAATAAACAGCATCTTGTACGTCAGGAATTCATTCCTTCAACAGTTTTTCAACAGAAATTGAATTAAATTAGGGTTAAATAATAATAATAATATATTGCTTTATATACATATACATATTATCGATCGGCTTACTTCTGGAACTCTCTGTGTGTATGCGAATGCGTACGTCTTGGAGTTCCCGATTGATATTCTCTTTCTCCTCTATCCATCAGATGTGTGTGTACATAATATACATATGAATTTGATTAATAATGAATTATCTTTGAGTTTTCATCATTACACATATACATATAATTAATACTTGTTATTTTCATTTTATTTTATATTTTCGGTTTTTCAAAAGCCAACAACAACAACATGTAAATAGAGTACTTTGAACCGAATTGGCATTTTCTCTCTCTCCCACTCTCTCCTCTACTCTCTCTCTGTCTCTGTCTTCGTTCTTCTTGAAGTTCATTCTGTACTAATTTCCCACTTCAGGTTTCTATTACCACTACTACTACGACTACGATTACAACTACTCACGTTGTAGTGGCGAAATCATGTGATTTTTTCTCTTTGTATTATATACTACTTGTACAGACGACAGCATATATACACATATACATATACACGTGTGGTGGTTACCACAATTTTTTATTTTTAATTTGAGCTAGATTATAATAAATAATACACTCACATTCACACACACACACTATCTCTAGCCTTCCTTATTATATTGTTATTATTATTAATATTATTATTGTATAACTAATACTGATGTAATTTTGTTTTCTTCTTTAATAACAAGGATTTTTTTCTCTCTCTCTCACTTTTTAAAGCGTAAATGAATAATATTTAATTTAAAATTGGGGGCTTTTTATCCTGTAGAGTTCTCAATACTCTATAGTATAGTCGTTTGATGATAGTGGGTTTTTGTTTTGTGTACTGCTCTGTTTGTACTTTCATCGATGTGTATCTATATCAATGTAGATTGAGTCGTGTGTGACAACGGACACATTAGTCATCATCGGTATTGTTTCGTCTTAGATTGGGAAGCTTCAGCGGTGCCCTCCCCCGTCAACAGGATAATGAGACCCCATGTTCGTTGTTAACGTCTATTCAGCAGCCATTTGGGCTGACCACTGAATTCAAAACTTTGTCAACTTGTTATAATAGTGTGCTACCCTACCTCATATCAATGCCTTCGGTAGGCATTCACTTCACATCTTGATATGGGATAGACCCCAACTGGTGATGATTTCCCACTACAACAACAGCTTCAAGAAATTCATCCACAGTAGCAGTTATGAGTGAGCAGCTGCAGATTGATGTGATTAATTATAGGATTTGTGGGTATTTTATTTATTTTTGATTACACCTTGATTCCACACCGTATTTTTTGGTACACGTATGGAATTTTCAGCATGTGATATCGGTAGCCTAAATTTTTCAGGCCGACGATAGATATCAGGTGTGCGTCGGCAGGACCATGTACATGATCGGCGAGAGTCATAAACGCTGTGCCACCGACACAGCGCAATTGTTAGATTTTCGTCACTAAATAGCATGATTTAGGAAGATCATTATGAGACCATAGAATGGTTAACTCGTTTGATCTGGTAACTTGGTTGGCAGTCATAGGTTCGATAGCTGCCGGAATCTTGGTTGGTGTGCACTGATGAAGAGTATCAGAATAGGACGATTCGGCTGTCCAGTGTGCTTCCAGTTGGTTTTCAGTGATCTTTCCAAGTGATGTGGTCGGTGACGAAAATCTAACATCAATGCTTTCGATTAATTAATCTTCTAAATATGTATATATATATATATATGAATTTACTTTCCTTGATAGGGCTGACACTTGCTATTTTTTAACCTGAAGACGGCATGGGACCAACAAGTGCGGCGGTGTCTGACTGTTAATCACATTGTGATATGTTTATGGGCAATAAATCACGCTCGAAACGCCACCCAGTTATTGGCACTTTTTGTTATGTTATAGCAAGTAAACTTATCCGGCAAGGAATTCCTGGTCATTTGGTAATAGAAGGAGATAAGAGATTGGGTAACGGACGTTTATTAAAAAGCACACCGTGTTTGTTCATTCTCAGCCACATGAAAATTCTGCTGGATCAGTGGAGAATAAATTGTTATGATTGGTTGCCAGTTAGCTCAAGGTTGAACAAGTTGTGTCCAATCAGGTGTTATTTCATGTTCACAACGTAAACACTAAATCTAAGTTTGAAGGATAAACACTTCTATGTCTGTTGAGGCCACTAATTTAAACTGATGATTTCAGTTTTGGTAGTTTGTAGCAATCAGGATCACGCTATACAGCATAATTTCCATTAGCTTATGCTGGTGAGTATTTTTGATTCAAACGTCTAGGGACTTTTTTTCAATAAATTATTATCCTTCCTGTGAATCTCTTTTTTTTTCCATATCTTTTGTCATCCTATATGCCGTCAATGGAGTGTGGTGGTGGTGGTGGTTAGTTGAAGTGGTGCATTTCTGTTCAAAGTTCTATGTTGACATTGGTCAGTCTCAGTCGGTGATGTGAGCAGTTCGGTGGGGTTGGAAAATAGGTTATGAGCGGTTGTTGGTTTGGATGTTGCTGGAAAGGGACTAGTCGAGTTAGTCTTAGTCAACAATATGCCAAACATCAATAGTTGAAAACTGTCGTAACATCTCAAAATTGTTCTGTGATGCTGCAAATATATCCGATATTTATTATATTCAAAATTGAGAAATCACTCCTCCTCCGTCTAAATGATGAATAAGAAAAGTCGATTTATTCACAATGTGTGTGTGTGGAAATATTTATTTCCAAACTGTTCAGCTTTTATTCATATTTACATGTTGGGTTTTTGTTTCTGCTGCCTAATCGCTCAACACATGATAACTAGATGAGAGATAGGATAGGAGTAGGTGGATTACAGAAAGGGTTGGTTATTAAAGAAAGGAACTGATTTTAACACATAAAATGTGATTTATATTTTGAAGGAATTGGACGGATTGCAAACTGACTCAAATTAGAAAACTAGTGGGGTCCACCAAATAGGATGTGAGGACAAATAATCTCCAATGGCATTAGCTGGGGATAGCCCGCGTATATATATATAACATCAGAAGACAAGGGCCAGGCAACAGGTCGTTTATTTACGAAATCAACACATTTATAGATTTTCATGTACATTATTATAGATTATTGTTAGCAGAAAAACACGCAGTCTTCTGATTGCTTGTTTCTCAATGAAAGTTAATCCGATATCTCTTTGTGGCTGTTTCTTGAATGTCAGATCATCTATACGCTAACTGTATCCGCCTACGCAAAGTCTGCTCTGACTGGTTGTTGAATCAGTCTTTGTTCTTATTTTTCCCACGACCAATACTGGGGACGTAAATTACTGTCTACCAATTTGGCTTGCAGATAGCTCTCACCACACTCGTCCCCCCGTCAAAGACTTGTGATTAGAGTTGGTCCGGTCTTCTTGCTTCTAGGCGCTTTGTTCGTTTGTCTTGCTGTCTGGAATCGCAGCACTCGCTGATGTTCACCTGTTTCTCTTTGTTTGCCGTTGTGATTGTGTCTGCATAACCCTATCTGAAAGTGACCATATGTGGTCCTTCCCACTTTGGAAACTGTTTGCCTGACCCTGTCGCACATTCGTTGGTATTTCGCCTGACCTTCCAGCAACGTCTCAAGTAGCAGCCTCATCGCTGACAGATCTTGATCTCCACTCAACTGCGCAGAAGCCTCGAAGTCTTTCCCGAAGATGCATATGTCTCCATCAAGAACTGTAGGGCATAGGCTTTCCATTTGTCGGTAATCAGCGACACTAAATGTAACAACAGAAGGCAAAGGCCAGACAACGGATCGTTTATTAGGGAAATCAACAGATATTTATAGATTTTCATGCACATTATTATAGATTATTGTAAGCAAACAAACACAGTCTTTTGATTGGTGGTTTCTCTCTTGAACGTTAATCTTTCATCTCTTTGTGGCCGTTTATTGAAGTTCAGATTATCTATCTGCAAATTGTATCCGCTTACGCAAAGTCTGCTGTGGTTGGTTTATATATATATAACACCTATTTGCAGTAGTTAGACTTGATGGACCATTAAATTCCGTTGCAGTGGCTCAATGGTATAAGAGTTCGTCCTGTAACCTGAAGCCTGTAGGTTCGATATGCTTGGTTGGGTTAATGGGGGCGTACTGCTGGAAGGTTTCAAACCAGGATGAAATAGCAGTCTGGTACCCTCCGGTCCTCTAACTAAACTCAGTTTATGATCAATCTCCATGTATAAAATATAGATCATTTGCTGTCAAACAGTCAACAGATAATAAGGATTCAGAATACCAAGTGAAACAGAATGAAATTAATTGAAAAGCACATTCTACATAATGTTTTTTGATCGTAGTGCAAGTTTCTATTCATGTGTTGGGGCGTGTACTACTGACAGGATTTATCAGTAGTATGCAAAGAGACGTTCATTGGCACAAAAATGCCAAACAGTGGAGAGATTATGGATCTGACATCAAAGAGAGGAAATCGACCAGTATGGCGTCAAAACATGAGGGGCACGAAAAGACAACAAAGAAACACATTAGGAAGGAGGAGAGGTAGCCTAACATGGAAGATCAAAAGAATGGATACTGAACAAAGAGTTCTCTTTTCGATAACCTCTTCATCATCAGATTCTACAGTTATGTATACATTACAGTGAATGAATGAATTAGTGTCATGAACAACATTAATGTTGCTGTTTAAATAACATCGAATCAATAATATTGATAGATTACAGCTCAATAGGATCAACATAACACTAACTGAATGTCAGAAAAATTAGGAAAGATAATATTACATATTCATGAGTTTACAGTCTCTGCTGAAGACTGGCCAGGGAGGTAGTGGTGTTTGGAGTTGCTTCTTTTGAACACAGAACACTGGTTGTTTGAGGCGAATTGCAATAGTCACTGCTGTTTGGAGCATGCGGTGCTTCGATGATTTTGACAATTTATTAGGCACCCGGTAGATGATGATGGAGAAGGATTCCTCCACACTGGCTGACTTTGTGGCCGGCCGGTTTGTACCAGATGGTCCGATATCGAACTGTTAATGGTTTTAACTACACCTTTACTTAGCCATAGTGAGAGATGATCTCGAGCGGGCACGAAAAATCAAGTCCCTAGAGCAACGGCCAATATAACTCTCTCCGCTACAAGTGCAGTTGAATTGGTAGATACAATTCGAAGTGGCTAGTCTAGTCTAGGTAGTTCATCTTTCAGTCGAGGTAGTACTATCCGTCGTGTAGAGAATAATACGTGTAGTTCGCCAGAATTAAAAGTTTTTTGTACTGATTTTCTTAATTTGCTCGTAATTATCTCACCTGGTATATCACCCATGAATTGTAGTCGTATATAAAGTGGCTTCTTGTTAACAGATAGTGAGCAGTCCTTTTTCATCGCTTTCTTTTTCGACCAAAGTATCATATACAATGGCTAATTCATCTTCGACTACTTATTCTGAGCATATAGCTCTAACTAACCCTGTGGCCAAGGGTCTTCACTCAATTTCTTTTGTACTTGATAGGAACGAAGCTGTGAAAATGTGTGTCTATTGTCCTGTCCAAGTACTTTTTCTATGCAAATTTCTTTTTTTTATGCTACCATCTGGTTTTCTTGTAAGTAGGACATCCAGGAAAGCAACTCTTTTTGTCTTGGGATTGGTAAGAAATACTTGCGTTACAAAGTTTGTTATCTTCTCCTGTCGCACATGTATACATAGTGCTTCAGATATACATAAATGATCGAATTTCGGAGTGATTAAACTTAGTTCTTTAACTCATATTTGCCATAATAATAATAATACTAATAATAATGTAAATAATAAGAGTTTATTTCAGAAAATCTGTGAACACATAATACAAAAGTTTCCAGCGTTTTAGTACCAAAATATATGTTGTCTTCATACAGAATTTACATGTGAAGTTTATCATGTGATGTTGTCTTGTTGCATATGAAGACACAACCAATTCTGTAACATGTTTTCTTCATTTTCTTCAAAATTTTTTTACAGCGTCTCGTT